AGTAATATAAATATAATACATTTTAACTGTGTGTGTATATTTAAAATATCGTTTCTGATAAAATATGCTCGGTGTAACTCGTGCAAAAACGTTGAATTAACAAATTAAAAATTTATCTCAACTGTGTGAAAATTTTTTTGTCTAAAAAAATTTGCCGCCCTAGGCAAGTGCTTTGTTGGCCTATGCGTTAATCCTTCACTGATTATGTTTGATATTCGTCGAAAGTGAGAGAGTTCTAGTTGCAGTCTAGTGCAGGAACCGAAAACAATAGATGGATTTTGGACAATGGCGAATAAAACACATTGCAGCGAATTTTGAATAACTTAGGATCAAAGAATAAAGATACAAAAGCTGCATTTATACATATATATATATATCCTTTAATAATGTTTATTTCATATCGTAAATATATGTTATTTCTCGATGCATTTAAATACATATATGTTTGTTAAGTATATGTACATATCGTTCCTCATTTAGCACAATTGCGTTGCAACGAATTTTCAGGTATCTCTGATCTTTTAGTTATATTCCGTCACGTATATAACAATAATTACAAAATTCTTAACGTCCATATAAATATCTTTCTTATGTAGGCACATTCTTACACGCGTATGTACAATTTCCTTTGTAATGCAACCGCAGAATATTATGTCTCAACGTATTGTCTCTTTTGCAAAGATGCATTCCGAAATTTAAATGCTGTTGCGGTGATTTTGTAACTCTCAATTCGAGTACCTAATATACAGGCATTAACAGCAAAATGTAACGGTGAAACGCAAAAAGCATTTAAACTCCGAAGATAATCCATGAGTTTAAAAACTATCAAACTATGACAAATCAAGATTCAGAGAATCTATATTATTTAGTAAAAATATTAATATCACCCCGTCAATAAATATATCAAAAATTAAATTGTATCTGACTATTAAACATTGTTTTAATGATCACAATAATTCATGATCACATTGCATGATCATTATCAATATTGCGAAGTAGTATCTTCTTCAGATAATTTGAAACTCCAACACTATTAATATTGTCTAATTCTTATCAGACTGTAATGTTATTAAAGGATTTTAACTGAGAAATTGATTGTGCTGTTTAGATATTATTACAAATTGATAAATTTTTGCAAAAGAAATTCAATTATAAAAAAATAATAGAGTAATGTTCTTAAAAGTTTCTTCAAAATTTAAGAATATCTTTTTTCTTAAAGATTTTTTTAAGAATTTTTGAAATGATGAGACTACTTTCGATTGATTTGTTAATTAATGAAGGGATATTAAGTATAATATAACTTAAAAATACTAATGTTATCTTATACGTCTCCAGAACCATTAAAATATGTATGAAGTACTTTATGTGTAATTACCTTATTATAATTTTATGATATATAATTACAATATATCAATAATAGGAAATTTACATTTTCAATTAAGTAACTCATGTACAATCATATGTATATGTCTAAACTATGTTAAGTATCCACGCTTTTTTCTTACAAAAAATATGATTTTATTGTCCACTCCGAACAAGTAATAGGTAATTTGTGCACAAAAACTTTGATTTGTATATTGGAAGCAAAAATATGTCGTAACTTCTCTTTTTATGTTATAGGAAATCTGAATCGTGTATTACATTATATCAACATTTCGATAAACAAGCAACAATGAAATTTTTTCTAATTTCAACTCGCATCATATATTCAAACTTTTACCATTTCAAAACCTTTTCTTTATACATGTAGAATAGACTAAGAAAGAAAAATTTCCAGATGTCCCTCTCTGATTTTAATGAAACTTGCGTTTTTGTAGAGAGGATAAAAAAATATTCGATACATATTTTTTTATCAGCAACCAAACATATTTAAGGAGGTTGTAAGGCAAATGCAATATGTTAATAATTACTTGAAAAAATTACAGATTATTTTAAATTGCATTTAAAAGTAATATAAAAAAATTAGAGATGGTTTATCTGGATCAAAAATTATTTCAATAAAAAGTAATATTTGTTTTAATTTGTACTCTAATAGAAATATATGGAAATGTATTATAAAATAATGATAAAAATCTCATTTTTTTATATAAGTTCTTTATGAATTCAAGAATATTTATGAAAAGTTACATTGAGATGCAGACATTAGTTGTTTAGTAAATAAACAAAATATTTATTTGTTATGAACCAATTCGTGAATCTTAATGAAACTGCAATAAATAATTTTTAAAAGTACTTATACAAACAAATTTGGATTTTTATCATTTTTAAAATTTTTGTTTCTTAAGCCTATGGCCTGTGTTACATCTCTCTCATATGCTTTTGGTACGCACGCTGATTATTCAATTGCCATGAGCATATGAGACCTAGTTTTAACGTCGGTTTCCGAACGGCGGATTTTTTCGAGAGGTGTTTTAGTGGGCAAGGATACTTCCGGGAGGTTGTCGGCCTTTTCCGAGAGGAAACACAAGCGTAAATATTTTGGTTCCTATTGGGATCGAACCCAGGACCTCTGACATGATAGACTAGTGCACTGTCTGTCATGCCATATTTTTGTTTATAACAATAAAAATAACAAATAAAATTAATAATCTATAAAAATGTGTTGCTAAAAAAAACCAGAATGTTATGAACACAACTTTCATATGTAGTTTGTTTAAAGTAAATAGTGTTTTATGCCCTTACAACCTTCTAAAGACGTGAAATTAGCCAAATTTTCGTTTTTCGGCTATAACTTCTGAATGAAGTATGATAGCGTAATTTCGTTAAGGTGGTTCTTTAGTAAATCGAGTTATCATAGAAATGTCTAATTTTTTTATATAATGAAGTTGAAACATTGACATGTGCAAAATTCTATGGTAGCGATGAAATAAGAAAAAAAAAATATTGAAAATGTAACCTTTCACATATAACTTAGTGACAGATAAGGCTCGCAGACGCTTCTTGGACTAATTGCACACAAATCTTATCACAGATTTTTCTCAAAAACGAGATTATAAAGTGTCGTTTACAATTAACATTAACAGTAGTAGTAGAAGCTATAGACATGTCGGGAGTAAGCTGGTTTTCTGGCTGGGCCGGAAAACCAGCTTACTCCCGACATGTTTACAGCCTACTGCTACTGTTCATTGTAGACGCTTAACAGTTCAAAAAATTACGATTTTAATGGTCACAAAAAAGTAATAAGTCAACGGCCATTCTGGAAAGATATTTACGTGCATAAATTCGCATATAAATTTAATTTCAAAAAGTAAACATGTTGTTTTCGTTCGATGAAGATGCAACTTGATTTACTATCGTATGTTTCATACTATTTCATTAAGATATATATGTAATTTTAATATTTTATCCAAATTATCCAGATATTTGTAATTTTGGGTGGTGAGACACTCCAAATTTTCGGTACTTTACTAAAGAATCACCTTAATATACAAATGTACTTTTCTTATAAATATTTTTACAATTTAACTATTAATAACAATACATTATAAACGTATCATATTGCCTTCTACGTTTTGTGTAAGTAATGTGCCGATACAAAACTTTCCTGTGAAATTATATCACAGATTGGAGAAACCCATTTTCGAGATATTGCATTTTGTCACATTAATACTTAAAAATGCAACATTAATTATTGTATTTTTAACTATAATTGTGTATATATACATATATAAATATTATGATTTCAATATTCTCTGATTATCACTTTACAGGTTGTTCATTTCAACGAGCAATATTATTTGCGCTCTTACTTGAAATTGTAACTTAACAAAGTGTTAAGTTGCTACATTTTGGGAAAGTTTTGTATAATGTTCATTTATTATATAATAAATAATTGCTGGGCACAAAGTCAATATTATAAACAATTAGATGCTGCGTTGTAATATACAGGGTGTTTCATAAATGCATATCAATACTTTAGGACAGTGCTGAGATTTATTATATTTGCATATTTCGACCGATTTTCAGCTCGTTTCGTGCCCCTTACTGTGCAAGTAGCATGTGTTGACGCACAAGGCGGACATTGCGAACATTTCCTTAATCATTTCCTGATAGCAAAGCCTGCGGAGACAGATTTTGAGCAGAGCCTGCTATCAATTTTTGATTGCAGAAAGGCAACAAATTATACACAGAGTTTGTACTATCAGACATTGTCAGCAAATTGGTGACAGAAACCGAACAGAGTCTGCTGCATAACCTGACAGCAGATTGCGAGCAGAAACTGAACAGAGTCTGCTGACATCTTAATTTGACGGAATATATATATTGACATGTATTTATGAAACACCCTGTATATTAGGTGGTAAACTTAATTCCTGTCGTTTTTTCGTCTCTAAAATTTTTCTCATGGCATACAAGCATTTCCAGACGGCCATTGGAATAACATTTAACGCTTTCGAAAAACAACTCTAAAAACGTTTGAACTGGATTCTTATCGAGCAATTCTTGCAGCTCGACATCTTCAAATTTTTTCGGCTGTCCAGGACGTTCTTTATCTCTCACGTCAAAATCACTGTTTAGAAAGCGTTCAAATCAAACTTTACTTGTTCTTTTCAATGGAGTCTTATCACCATACGCTTCGGATATAAACGATGCGTTTCAGCTGCGATTTTCTTGAGTCGAAATAGTGAAGAAGTATATGTCGGAAAAACAGCTTATCGCAGTTTATTTTCAATCGATTGGAAAATCTCTTTGGTGTCGAGAAATTTAATCTGTGATGACTGAATCACTTTCAGCAATGTTTAAACTATAAAAGACATGCAACTTCACACCGTCGAAACTCGCCAGCATTGAAGCCGACATATCGAGCCATAGACCTATAATAGTGAGTGATAGGAATTAAATTTACCACCTAATACAACACATATCTATGATCTAAACATAAAAGTATGTACATATATCTAGCCATAGATATATATGTACAATTATTATTATTATTATTAATATTATTATTACTATTACAGTAATACATACATTTATAATTAATTCAAATTTATGCGCGCCTCATCATTGCGTCATATTCTTGTGCAAATATTCGAAAAGAAAAAGGGAAATGCGAAAATAAAAATTATGTCAACGGTTCGCGTTTGGATAAAGATTTTCGTTGTACTAAAACGAGGCATCCAACATTTACGTTTATATCACTCTTTTAGGTCACGATTTATATTGCACTGACAATATTCGTCACCCTACATGACTCTCTGGTTCAGTTTTATAATCTTGCATGGTAAGGATATAAGGCACGACGCTAGCCACGCTTACTCGACCAATGAGACCCGAGAAGAAGAGATCCTCCAGAACTCTAGGATTAATTGAGCGGAGAGGTGCTAGCCTCAACAGAAGGCGAGGTAATCTATCGGAGCCTACACGTTGCTGCAGCTCCGTCCATGCTGCTTCCTGCAAGACTTCAACTTTCTTATGCCAGATGCCTGCTAAGACATTATCTAAAAAATAATAATAAATGTCTCACTCTGATATTCATGATAAATAAACTTCATTGTTTGTCATTTACATTCACTCACCGGCACTAAAAAGCGTTAAAGCTTTAAGATATGCGTATTCGACGGAATCCACTTGCAGCTTGTGCAGTGAATTTACACAATCCTGTAGTCTCCATATATGTTCTGTAACGCATTTTACTTTGCCAGCAGTGACTTTCTCTTGTGCGATACTAGCTTGCAAGTGATTAATTATCGACGTCAAAATACTAGGAAGTGACAAGGTATATGCACATTGTGCCAGACCTAATGTGAACAATTGTCCCCAGGAACTTCGAACTAAAGTAGTTTGAACGTCAGATCTAAAACGTAAGACGTTTATCTTAAACGTTATGACTTTATCATCAATATGATCAAGAGATAGACGTACTATTTCTATAAATTACATCACACTTACGGCAAAGCTTGAAATGCTGGAATTCCTCGTGCCCAATGTACAGACAAGAATAATAGTCTAGCTGCACTTTCACATATGTAGTGAATAGATAAATACACAGGTGCTGGGCTAGGCGCCCTCAATTCAAACAACGTATTTCGCTCAGAGATTAATTGGCCGGTCCATTCTTCCTCCGGTTCGCTCGAGCCATTAACATTCTGCAAGCAGATATCGCGATACATTAACGACCTATCCAAAGAAATAATACAATAAGATAATAATCGTAACTTACATCACCAATGATTTTAGCCATGCTATCTGCTAACGCATGAGAAAGAAGTAAACGCTCACGAGCTAAGGTCAAAGCATCGCTGAGAGCGTCACTATCGCTGCTTTGGTCTTCCATGCTAGGACTCTCGGGTTGCTCCCAAGTCGGCAGTGTCTCGGGCGCAGGCTGTTGCGGCTCAGGTTTTACCCTAGGGTTACGGTTGCCAACTTTTGTCCCAGTCGAATCACCCAACACCGGTTTTCTCTCATGTTGTACAGCTGTAACATCGTAAGATTATTTTATTATCTCCTGTCTCCTACTATGTATTTTAGAAAACAAGTTCAATAACACGGGAATATAGAGTGATGCGTGGGGCTTCGTGTAGGAGCAATCGACTCATAGTTAGCAAATCCTAGATTCGATCTCGACCTTCACCTAATTTTTTATATGTATATAAATAAATATATACATAAATTAAGATGAATATGCATTAAGTGAATATGCATAACTTCACTTCCTTTTCATGTTATACTTTTAATTATATGTATTCTTTAAAACTCATAACTAGTTTTAAAGAATATATAATTGAAAATATAACATGGAAAGAAAATAAAGTTATGCATATTCATTATCCTAATTAAAATGTTATTCTAATTCAGAATTAAAAAATAGTCTATTAAAAAGTTGCTAATTTTGAGATATATACAGTGATATGATTTGGTTATAAGAGGTTGATTAAAGAGTTAAAGAGTGAGAGAGAAAGGGCACTATAGTAATTAGAGGAGGATATCCAATAAAGAAGAACATGGAAATTATTCACTTACAGTCGCTTCTCATACCCATCGCCAAGCATTTCTGAAGTCTACAATACTGACAACGATTTCTGTGATGTTTGGTAACTTCGCAGCTTTTGCTTCCTCTACATTGGTAGCCCAGCTGCTTGCGGATGCTGCGCTTAAAAAAACCTTTGCAACCCTCGCAGCTGATTGCTCCATAATGCCTGCCACTAGCTCTGTCTCCACAAACTACACAAAGTTCTAAGGACAGCCCTAAACCTAATGAGCCGCGAACGTCCCTCGCTAATTTCACCTATAAAAAAAATGTTAAAATATTATTCGAGTTAATGAAGATGAACACTTAAGAAATCAATGTAATGTGCAATAACGAATATATATATATATTTGCCTCAACATCAACATTAGTCAAATGCTCCAAGCCAGAATGCAAATGAACCATTCCAGGATGATGGCCGAGATTACGAAAGTCTCTTCCTATCTTGAGGTCCATCTTGTCGTCATGCATCTCAATGTGATTATTTTGATCTACATCTCTCTGCAAAAAAACATTCAATATTTAATTTAATCAATGTTACAAAAAGTTGTTAGCTCCGAATTAATATATTTACCATGGCTGGATGATGTCCTATATTATGAAAATTCCTCCCTAATTTCTCGGGCTTGTCATCGTGCAAGTTCTCGACATGATCAGCCGGATCGATGTCCATGTCTCTCTGCAACACGAAAAGAATTTCAAAACTGGCTTTTATAAAGAAATTACTTCCATTATAATTCAATCTATTTCCATAATAATGATAAAAGAAATAACAACCGGATTATTGGTTTATTGATTACAAATGAGTGATTATCGTAGAAATAATTTGAATATCATTAATATCATTAATTTTTAATTATCTTCAGAATGACTATTAACTCAATGCCTTTCAACGGTTCTCGTGGAATGATAATTATCGTGAAAATAATAAACAATTTGTACGATGATTACATTAGTTACTAATTTCTCGATAAACGCCGATTGTTATTTTCTTACGCGCGCCGCGTAATCATTGAAGGGGAAATGTTATGACAAGCAATGAACCTCTGCATCGGCATCCGGCGTACGATCGCGATGGTGGGAGAGGCTGCAGAAAGCCATTCCAACTTTGCAGTCCGGTTCCTTCTCGCTCAGATTATCGTGATCGCGTTGCTCCCTATGGTCCCTGTCCATTTCTCTCTGTAAAACGGATCGGCGCCTCCGTTAGACGAGAACGCGTAGAACAGCGTAGAACGTATCTTAGATATTTCCGCGCTGGTCGCACAATAATACACGGCGCGTTACCGTTCCGAGAGAGCGCTATTACGAACCGAGAGCGTGAACCGATGGGGCTCTCCTTTTCGATGCGTGTTAAACTAGCATTAATGATTTTCAACCGGATATTACGAACCTCGAATCGCCGATTCCAGCGCGATTCGAACGCTCGTGAAACGCGGTGCACCGCAGCGTTATAACGCATTACAGCATACATGTCGAATTAAAGATCGAGAATTTGAATGCCGCATGAAAGAAATCGGCGATCTTTCAGCAGATTCTGAATACTGTTTTCACCGAGATGCAATTTAAGGCTCCTGAGTACTCACTCCAGCCATATTGAATCGTGACGTCATAAGCGAGAAATGTGTCATAAGCGACACGTTCATTTTTCTTGCGTGCTATTTGTAAATAAAGAGAATTTGGCTGAAAAGAAATGATCGCTTTAAAGCATTTGTAAAAATGGGCGAAGACTATCCTTATCTCCCTTAACAGTCAGTAAATAGTCGTAAAAGGCACGTAAAGTGGGGGAAGGGGTTAGTTTTTACTCAATGCGCATGCGTAGCCTATTTTCACTTCACGAGCCTTTTTCGATTCTTTACTAATTATCAAGGGAAATAAGGAGTCTTCCCCCATTTTTACAAATATTTTAAAGCGATCTTATCATTTCGTTTCATCCAAATTCTCTTTATTTACAGATAATATGCAAGAAAGATCAACGTGTCATTTCTCGCTTATGACATCACGATTCAATATGGCTGAAGTGTCTACTCAGAAACCTTAAAGCGGTCCGATCAATATTGTACAATAATTGATATTACACAATATTTTATTGATCATCTCAGGCACATATTGAGTCTCCAAACTATTTGTTTTGAATTGTTTAAAGAGGCCATCAATAAAACGTATTGCACAATCGAAAAGCACAAGTAATAGGAACAGGGAATAAGGAAATAGATTTCAACCTATCAGAAACCATGAATTCTGATATACACTGTTTTCTGTAGTTGTGAACTAGTGTACACTTTTAAAATAAAATAGATATCTGTTTGATATTTGGCGAAAGAGAGAAAGTTCTAATGCAGAAGTACAGAAATAAAAAAAACAGAGTGATAAATGACTCGATTTCTATTTCCGATACGTTAAAATTTGATATATTTCCTGTTTCTATTGCCTATGCTTTTCGCTTATGTCTCAGATTTAGTAGGGTAAAATGATATAATTCTGAACGAAATAAGATTTGAATCCAAATTCGAGATTTAAGTTTGGTAATCTTGATCTCATTATGTAGAAAATATTAAAAGAAACCACCAAACTGGAAAAAGCCAAACTCGAACTTCGCAAATTGGATTTAAATCTTATTTTGTTCAAAAATGTACCATGCACCACCTTACTCCACTGTACAAAATAATTGAGGAGATGGGTCTAATTACAAAATCTTGATTTTAATAAAAATTAAAATAACTTGCTTTTTATTGTATACAAATATATATCAAATGAATTTATGTAATGTCTTTAAGAAGTTACATGTTACAATACTTCTCTATTACGATTAATATTATAAAAAGGCTAATCTTCGGAAATAGGGCCTAAGTACAAATTGTGCCTTTATTCCGCTCATCCCCTCAATTGTACATTAATACTAAATAAATCCAAGTAAAAAGTAACTTCAATCTATGTATATATGATTTATTAGTTTGATGAAAATAATATTATACTGTACGTTTAAATGTGTAAATCCTTCTTTGTACGCAGTATATAGTATGCTATTTTTCACAGAAAACTAATTACGTACATATAATATATATACATATTAAAGTCACTTTTTATACACTTGGATTTGCAGTGCAGGGACCGTTTTAGAATAAGATGCAACGCAAGAGCAAGCGAACCAAGAATGGAATTCTGCAAAACGTTTTAATTTTGATTTGCCACTAAAATAAATGTTAAATGAGAGATACGTGATAATAATTTCCACGGCTAACGCTGTCACTCATCGCGTTGTCGCTCGCGGAAAAGTGCACCGTCCTCAACAATCGATACCGATCCCTCGCTCTTCTCGCGGTCGCATCCCGCCGCGAGGCGAGAGAAGAGACGAATTGCGCGATCCGAAGTGTTCGAAGAACTAAGCGCAGGGGCGCGGGATAAAAATGTAAACTGGAGCATTTGCCGGCCCGTCCCCACCTGCCGGGGAGAAACTCCTCACCCTCGCCCCCGGCCCCGCCGCCGCTCGATCTCTTGCCGACCCCCCTACGGCGCCGTTTTGAGAGGTGAAAGAGATGGTCCCGAGTTCCTCGGTTCGTAGGTTGCTACGCGGTTAGGTAGATAGAGGTGCATGCCGATGCTCGGCTACGTCGCGCTACGCTGCACCGCCGACCGCTACTGTCATGTAGAAGCGAGTGGTCCATTTTCACACGTCCGCGAACGATCGTCGCCGCTCCGATTTCTATGCGATTTATAGACGATTTTACTTCGGACCGATATGCAAAATGGAGGTCTCCAGATATCATATACATATACACGCGCTTCTTATGCAAATTGCTTTTCTTAATACTTAATTTACGTCCCAGGTAGCATCTATTGGTTCATACGTTTTATATACGTTTTCTAAACGTATCTAATGTTCTATAAACGTTTAAAAAACGTATATAAAATCAACATATGCTATTGGGGGTAATTCTACACAGAAAAAACGATTTTGCTAAAGTATTTAAAAATTTAGTTACACTCAAAAAATTTTTGTTTTGTTAATATTTGACCAACCTCAATCTTTTTGGTTAGGACAACAAAGTTTTTGTTAGTCACATATTCTAACAAACATTTTATTGTTCTAACTAAAAATTTTAGAATAATTAAATTTTTGGTTAGGACAACAAAAGGTTGAGATTGGTCACATATCAACAATTTTTTCTGAGTGTAAATAAAGGTCTGAAAATAATTATAAACCATTAAAAATAAACCAATAATTAAACTATTTAAATAATTATACTGAACGTTCAAAATGGTTGCTAGAATGTGAAAACTTTTACAGCATTATTATCATGCTTGTGCGTCCTACATAATTATTTTGATATCTCAACGTAATAATTTTCAGATATGTAACTGGCTTAATTTTTAAATACTTCAGCAAAACCGTTATTTCCAATGTAAACTTAATCTCTTGTGCATTTACACATTATACGCGGTATAAACTTGTCACATAAATTAATATAATCCGTAATTACGCAAGTAACTTTGGACAGACACTTGTGAGATGCGTATCTCCTATTTATAATTGTAAATAGATCTGTCATCGAAAGATTAATATCATATGATTCATATATAAAATATCAATATTTATTCTGCGTTATCGGTCACTATTTACTTATCAAAATGTTCTTGATACACATTTTTATTTACATCGCATTCTTCGAATTCCAAAATATATTACAGATCACTTCATCATCGCTTGTGATTCACAGAAAGAATGGTTTTTCTGAAGTATCTAAAATTTAGCCAGATCTAAAAATGACTTTGTTGGACTAAAATAATTAAAGTAAGATAGAATAAAAGCCTGTAAGAACAATTACCTGTAAGCAATTAACAGCGCGTGAAATATTGTATATATTCGCATATAATTACATACAAAGTATTATACATATAATAAGTTTTGACCTCGATTTGGGTTGACTGTTCTTCAGTACTTATCAAGTTATCAGAAAAACAAAATAATTATGTAGCACCTTCAAGCTAGTTGCTAAAATATCAAACCTTTTGCGGTATTACTTGAATTTCCTATACACTGAAAAGAATCTAATTGCATTAATTGGAATTCTGATTGAAAACGGACGAATCAAAATTTTCTAATTTGAATCTGTTATGATTCTAATTAAGATAACCAGAAGTTTAATTGATGTGATCAAAATTTTCTGGTTCGTTCATTTTCAACCAGAAATTTTTCTCAGTGTACATAATTATTTTCATAACTTAACAAAATTATTTTCATATTTGCGTCTACCTAAATTTGTAAATATTTCAACAAAATCATTTTTTCCGTGTAATCTTCACATTTTTGAAAGGCGCGGAATTCACAAGAATATCCGCGATTCTCTAAGGAGAACTCATTCTACCTTGAAAAACGGCATCACCGTTATCGGGACATTGACAGTGATTGTATTTTCGCACGAGCGTCGCGCAATCGTTACCGATATTCGACCGTCAATCGTGAACATCCCATGACGATCGCTTTTCGCTCTTCGAATCGATTCGGTCGTGCAACACCGATAAGGGCGAGCACGTCGTAAACGCTGATAAGTCGCGGCTGATTACTCATGGCTCGATGCGAAAGACTCGAAGACAATAGGGAAGAAAAAGCAGACTCGTGTAAAAATGTGAGCAGCGGTCGTGTCCCCGATCGAAAGGTCAGCGCGCGAATTGAAGGTGTACCGAGCGCGCGCGATCGTCAACAATGTCCCCTCGACAACAACGCATGCCCGTTCATTAAAATAGTCTACAGTAAATCGAGTTATCATACACATAGAAAAATATACAAGTAATAATTACTCTATATAAGTAATAATTACTTATTTCAACACGGAATTTTGTTTTAAAATTTACCCCGAAAATATGGTAGTTGTGATACAATACAATATTTTAAAGATTTTTACCATGCACTTCAGTAAAATTATTTTCAGAAAAAATTTTAGAAAAACTTATTATTATATGTACTTAAAACAAGAATTTATTTTCTTTAGAAGAATATTATAAAATTGATTGAAAAAACAAACTTTTCATAATAAGCAAATCAAATTTATTTTATACTTTATTGTAGTTTTATTAATGAATGAGAAAGATTTACATTAAAATTCTTGGAAATACAATGTCGTCCCACGACCATCATATTTTCAGGGTAAACTCTAAGAAGAAATTCTCTCCGTGTATTTCGAAAGTTCACATATCTGCAAATCTATCATAAGTTCATCACAAGCATTAAATTTATTCAAAAAATATTTTCTGAAATCTAATAAGTATTTAATACTTCAATCAAGTTTATTAAATTAAAACAAATTTGATTTACTTATTATGAAAAGTTTGTTTTTTCAATTAATTTTATATTTTTCAAAAGAAAATAAATTCTTGTTTTAAATACATATAATAATAAGTTTTTTCTAAAATTTTGTAAATAAGCATATTTTAAGTTCATTATCGAAAAAATTTTCTTTGTTAAAGATAATTATTACTTAAAAGGAAAGAAATAAATTAAGCACCTACTTTTCTTAGCAATAAAATGATATTTTTCTGCGTGTAGAAATATCTAATTTTTTTATGTAATGAAGTTGACGTGTACAAAATTCTAGGGTAGGTTCGATGAAATAAGAGAGAAAAAAATATTGAAAAAAGTTAAATTGTAACGTATAACCTAGTAACAGAAGGTCGGAGGCGCTTCTTTGACTAACTGCAAACATTATCATAGATTTCTCTAAAAAAACGAGATTATAATTGTTAAAAAAATTAAGATTGTAATGATTCCAAAAAAGTAATAGGTCATCAGCCATTCTAGAAAGATATTTAACGTTAAAATCGCAAAATATCGAATTTTCACAAGAACAAATTGTAAAAAAACCAACTTCTTTCGATTTTATAATTTTTTAATACTAAATATCATTTATTTTATACTATTTCATTAAAATATACATGTAGTTTTAATATTTTATCCAAATTACACAGATATATTTGTGATTTTAGGTGGGCCCTGGTGAGGCACCCCAAATTTTCAGCACTTTACTGTAGAATCACCTTAAATCCTTTTCTCATCCCTCATAGAATTTGCGCCTCACGGACTCTCGCGTAGGCATTCATATCACTAGTCTCTAAAACTTAGAGAGAATCTCACTTTAAAAAAAGTGAAATATCACTCTTTACTTAACTGATTAGTTTTCTGTGCTGAACGCAGACAATTTTTTTTCAAACAGCAACTTTTTTCTGGGTATTGAAAAAAGATAAAGAGTAAATTGAACCGAGATTAAAGTTAATCTACATTAATGAAAACGGTCATAAAAGCCTCCGATTACTGAGAAACCCATTTAGCTGAATCAATTAATTTCTTGTTTGGAAATGGGTAAACAAATTCTTGGTTGATGCAACAAAATAATTTAGTTTCTGATAAACAACTTTATTAAATGTCAATGTTTATCAGAAACAAGTAAAATGTTATAATAACCAAATTCTTTGCTTCAACTAAATCATTTTGTTGCATCATCCAAGAATTTGTTTGCCCATTTTCAAACAAGAAATTAATTGATTCAACTAAATGGGTTTCTCAGAGTGTAAGAGATTTGGAACTAGTCGACCCTATGTTATTGAGGAAGTTGAAAAAGAAGAAAACCGGAGTCTTCAAATCCGGAATTCACGCCACGGCGAGATGCGGTCGAGAATCGGAAGACTGTTACCGTTCGTGTTGGACGTGGGAACGTCACCCCGACGGACCGACGAAGCCGCTCCAGCACGATTCGCTTCTAAATATTCCTAGCTTATAACGTGCAAATATATGCAAACACAACGCACAGACGTTTCTTTCGACACCCTGGTGCGCGTCCGACGGACCATCGATGCCACGGTACAACACGGCACGATGTGACGCGGCGATGTGACGAGGTCAAACTGGTAACGCTCGTTCTCCCGCTTCCGTCAAGAAGTCAAAAGCTCCGAGGTGGCCGCACGCGTCGAGAGAGTCACTTTCGATTCCGCCGGAGAGTCCAAGCGAGCCGAACAGGCCGAACTCCGAGAGCGCGCGCTTGCGCGCAAAGTTCGAGGACGGAATGCACGGTACGCTACCTGTTGTGTGTCAGGTCGTTCGGCCGCCCGTCTGCTACGTTCGCTCGATCGGTTGGTTCCTCGACCTGTGTATCACCGCGTATATCGGCGATAATGCTGAACGCGAAGCTACGTGGAAAACAACGTAGCTGACCGGACGGCGAACGCACGCACGCACTCACGCACGCACGCACTCACTCACTCACTCACTCACTCGCTCGCTCGCTCGCAACGCGCGCTGATCGCGACGCGTCCACGCCGGAGCGTTCGTCGCGTTCTCGCTCGTGGTCGGTTCACGCGAAGAACTCAGAAGAACCGCGCGCCGCCGTCGCCGCCGCTATGCTTCTCCCGCAGCAACCTTGCGCGCAGGTGAACGCAAGCCGGCCGCTCCGTCGGTCGGTCGAACGTTCGGGCGAGAGAGAGCAAGAGAACGAGAGAGCGAGCGAGCGAGCGCGCAGGTTGGCAGGTCACTCTCTTGTGTACCGGGCCGGGACACGCCGGCCAGGTGCATTCTCGCGTCCCGCTTGCCTGCTTTCCTCTCTACGCCCGAGCAAACGAGCGTGCGGCCGAGGCTGCCGGGTAATGTGCTGTGTTACGTCACGCGGCCAACACGCCCGCGATATGCAACCGCGCGACCCTGTCGTTCTCGAAAAGGAAAGAAGGGGAAAAAAGAAGATAGATTCCTCTCATAACAGGAGGAGATGTGATTTTGCGTTGCTCACTAATTACACCCGCCGGGGTTGTAAATAGACTCGGGGAAAAAGAGCAGTAACCAGCAAAGGGGATGATATTCCGTTCTCGTTTCGGATAGGTCGTGTATCTCCCCAAAGTGCGAATATATCGTCCAGTCACTGACGTCAAACGTGACCTCAGTGCGGTAATTGAGAAAGGTTGAAAGGACAAATGGCCAATGGGCAATCTAAAAAGTTACATACAAAACCTGAGGTCATAATAAAAAATAATGAAATCTGTAGGCGGACTGCGTGGGGAGGAGGGGAAGGAAAAGAGAACGGAAAACCCGAATGACGGGAGTGATTGAAGGGAAACTAACAGAAAATAATAAGACCTGCCCACAATGAAAGAAATACTAGAAACAGGAATAAATATTAAATAGTAAAAATAAAACATTAAGAATAGATGTTAAATCTAATTTAGAGAAAAAATATACAGACTAAAATAGAGATTATATCTTATGTATTGCACACTCCAGTTTTATCTTTTATTATATTGGAAGGAATTTAACTAATAATAGATTAACTTATAATGGCGTTATCAGCGATATTTCACGTTCACATTTGTACTCAACGATATTTTTTTAAATGAAATTATGGCCTAAATATCCAAGATCTACTTTTTGATCATCTATTCACGCCATCGAATTTTTATATAAATAAGTAATCTTTTATTATCTTGTCTTTGTATTCAACCGTTTTATATATTATATGTTTAACATTGGTAATGACCCGATCGGAGTCGAAACGTCTTGTCTTATTTTTATTTTTATTTGTATCTTTATATTAATAATATTACGTACATTAAATTAGTTATTTTGGCTCCTAATCCTTCTTAATATACCCTCATTTGATTGTATCTTATTTGTATCCACATTATATTGTACATTATATTTAATTTTCTTCCTAATTTTTAATAAGATAAAATTGTATAAGACAAATACTTATCTATATCTTATCTGTATCCATTGTGCGTTACGTTTAATCTTTATACTTCTAATTTTTTTATTTCTCTAATATAATAATACAATATTTAACTCATATTATACATATGACAATTTTCTGCTCTTTTACATGATAAATCGTAGATAACACGCGAGCGTGTCAATCGTGTTCATTTTTACTTTTAAGCCCGGTTTTTCATTTTCTGGTTAATTTATAATTAAATTTATCCTGATGTGAAAATTGTATTTTTCTAGCTATGGTTAGTCACTGAACTAATGGTTTTGTTGCGACTTCTAAAAATACCACTAAGAAACTATCAGTTTAGTGATTAGTCATAGTTAGAAAAACTATGACTAATCACTAAAAATAATTTTTAGATTATTATCAGATTAAGTGAGGTTGAAGCCTAACGCACAGTTGAAAAGTGCAGGCAACGGGAACAGGGAATAACAAATTTCAATCTATCAGAAACTGTGTATTCTGGTTTTATACAAGATTTTTGATAAGTTAAAATATGTTATATCCTGTTCTTATTGTTCGTGATTTTCAATTGTATTTCAAGCTTAATAGATTTTCTACAATTCATTACCTAAGCTTTAAATCTTAAACCATAAGAAATTGACCAATCATAGTCGATTATTCTTCTCACATTCACTTGTGATTGGTCAATTTTTTACGGCTTAAGAATTAAGGCTTAGTTAATGATTGGCTAAGTCCATAACCTTGTTTTAAGAGGTAAGTCATAAGCTATAAGTTGTAAGTGACGATATATCGGCCGCAGAACTTATGCTTTTAAGCCGTAAGAATTGAGTTTTGCTAAATTCGCTTAAGTCTAACGATTAAAGCCTAAAGATTACGCAAAAACAGTTTAAAGACAAAAATTATTGTCACTTAGTCTCTTTCGATTTATAACTTAAGGTCTCTTAAAGCAAGTAGACTGAGACTTATTGTAAAACTCCTGTAAGTCTAAATCAGAAGTTAACCGGAAAACAAAAAAATCAGGCCTTAGAAGTATACAAAAATTATTAAATGATTTTTACGTATACTTTAACACCTTTAGAAGGTTTTATAAAGTTGTAATAAAAAAAAGAGAAGGATAGAGAGCACTATTTAGCCAACAGACTTATTCTGTAACTCTTAACGCAAGTTTCGTTATCGTTACAACGCCGCTGCGCAGCTTTTTTTATCATGACAAAGAGCCGCGCAGCGGCGTTATGCGTTATAACGATAACAAAATTTGCGTTGAGTTACGAAATAAATACTCCTAATATTTCAAAGAAAAAAATTTCCAGTACACGAATGACTTAATCGTGTATACTGAGAAAAATGGTCCGGTTGGATTAAATATGTAATAATTCTGATGGTAAAAATAGACAAATCAGAATTTTCTGATTAAATCTACTAGAATTCTAGTTGAAATAACTGGAATTCTGATTGATATAATTACTGTGGTAAAAATAAGAGATCTAGTAGATTTTCCTAGAAATATTGTATCAATCAGAATTCTGGTTATCTCAACTAGAATTCTAATAAATTTGACCAGAAAATTCTGGTTCGTCCATTTTCAATTAGAATTTTTTTTTCAGTGTAGAGTCAATATTTATTCTTATTTCTAATATTTCTTCCATTGTGCGCAAGGCCTAACGCTCACTTTAGACGATGTATAATTCGCGATAGAATTCGATACAAAATTCTATTTATAATTTTATGCATCGTGTAATACGGAAAACATAAATAATCAAAATTATAAATTTATAACTACAAAGTCCACTTTAGACTATTTAAAATTCGAAACAGAATTCTATTTATAATTTTGC